TTTCGCTTGGATTACGTCACGCACTGTTGCCATGGCGAGGATAACAGAAACTGAGGAAACAGTGAGGTAATAATAAGTAATCGCGAGGAAAAATAAATTCTTCTTCTTAAAAAAGAATTAGAAATCGACGTCGAATTCTCTAGAAAATAATAAAAAAAAAAAAAATTTCCTGCTTCCGGAAATGGAAAGTTGTTTGCTCTCGACATCCGGTTCGAGGCTGAACACGTGGTTAGTGAAATTGACAAAAAGAATTAGTAATCAATTTCGTTGTACACGTGTTCCTTGTTTATCTCGAGTCGACATTTGTTTTCGTTTAGCTTAACTCTCGAATATTTCGCATTTTTTTAAACGAATAAATTTAAAACGCTGTCGAAAATAATCTTTAGCTTCATTTTGACGATTTAATGGATATATTTTCGCATTATTTAGTCCGCGGAAGGGGATTATAACGTATAAATCTTGGCTTTTAAAGTCGATTTTACAGGCGCGCTCGGATAAATAATAGAAAAATAATTGCACAAACGTCGAGAGATGCAAAATATATACACATTAAATAAATATTAAATAAGAAAATTTAAATATTTACGGAAATATAAAGCGAATTTCTGTACGAACATTCGAGAAGTCCCCGTATAAATTTTGTGTAATTTTATGAAGATTCAGCTGTCTTCTACACGAAAAAAATATTATTTTTGTATGTGAAAGCTGTAAAATACTAGCAACACGCGTTATTATGCAGAAGAGCGGATGATAAAGTATATATTTTTATGTTTTATAATGTCAATAAAGAGAAAAAAAGACTTCAGATAACTGTACTTAAAGGGAGGAAGCGAACACAAGTTTACTTTGTTTACTGTTCTTAATTCTTTTTGTTTACTCTTTTCTATAAACTATATCTTTCCTTTCGATAAATTACTGTTTTGCAACGTTACATCTCACGGCTAAATATATAAAAAAACGGTTATAAAATAAAAGAAACGTCACTAAAGTTGGGATCAAATTTAATTCGAATTTATCCTGTTTTTTTTTTAAAGAGTGGACTTTATAAATGAAATAACCCGAAGTAATTTTTGATACCGGCTTGGCGTAATCCCTCTTTGACACTGCCTGAACAATATCTAAGCATAAATTCATTGGATTTACAACTGATGAATTAAGAAATCGAGGATTTAAAAATGCAGTAACGTAGTCTAAGATTGCTGTAAGAAGATACACGAGTTAGGCCCTCTACTTGGGGAATTTAAGCAAATTTTTCGTAAAGGGTCGCTCTATACACGTGCGGACCCCGAATTGGGAGTGCATTTTAAAGAGCCGGGGGGCATTTTATAAGGCGATCAATCGCGTGAAGGCAGAAACACACTTCTTATCTGGCTTTATTTACGTGGATGGAGCCCCCAACCCCCATCCGCGTCGCCCCTTTTAGACGGGATACCCTTTATCATTGCACGCTGGATGCCTTCGCTATTGATTACTCCGCAACTACCCGACACGGCGTAACAGATTTTAGATCGAGTGTAACACATTTGTAACTCGATGCCGCTCGTCCGACACTTTCGCGGAAAAATCGGAAACTCCCCAATAATTTAAGGACGAAGCTCGGTCTCGATTACAGTGACGTCACTCGGCATCGTCCTTGACGTCACGCGGAAGTGAAGCCGTCACGTGAACCGCCGGGGTGAACGAACATTACAGAGTCGAATAGACAGCCCGTTGTCGAGTAAGGAGCTTATAAAAAATATAATATCCCATTTTAGCGTTTAGAACTGGAAGAACGTACCCGCGCGGGATTAATTCGCGTTTTCCCCCTTTAATTCGGAATTTAGAAGAGGGATTAAAAAGATAAACGGAGGTAAATCCCCCGGACGATGGCTCGTTAGAGGAATTAATAAACTTTCTCAGCACGTGATGTAGATTACGGCACTTCCTTTCGCACTAGCGCACTTCCCGCTATGGGTGGCGCGTGTGAAGCGCGACGAGGCGACGCGACGCGACGCGAAACACCAGCTTCGCGTATATCCCGCTGGCGTGACTTGGTATCGCCCGTTTTGTACTCCTCTTTTTTTTCTTCTTCTTCCGTTAGAGGCGCTTCTCTCGTTTCTCTCCAAGTATCAAAAGAGAGTGCATGAAACAGTACAGACCCATAATCGTATTAACTTTCATTAAACAGTAAATCCGACTTATTTTACTATTTTGAGAAGAATTCTGTAAGTTAATACTAAAATGGGTATTTATCTGAAACAGATGTAGGCCGGACACACACACACACACCGCCTTTGGTGTATCTCGTGAAATAAATTATGTACGCGCCTCTTAAAGCGCGGGTTATACTCGGACGAGCGTAAAAAAAGTCTCCGTTTTCGTAGGGGGGACTAATCCACTTCGTTGTTTGAAGGGTGGTCGTCCTTGGACGTGTCTTCGTTCGTCGGGCCCGTCTTAAGCTCGTCGTTAATTCTTCATTATCGCTGTCTAGTGTTAAGAGGCAGTTGTCTCTCGGTGACGTAATAATCTCTAACGGAGGCACGAAACAATTAAGCATCCTTCTTAATGTTCTGTGACGTCTGGTGATATCGAAAACGTCATTCTAGACCCCAAAATATCGTCTAGTGTTTGAAAACAACCGCTTAATTACGCATCCTTCTTACTGCCATTTTGAGAGGTCGGAAATATTCGAGGCCCTTTTACCACGTCATCGGCTTTAATACAGTTACGCACTTATGCCATTTCGTGACGTCGAAAATGTCATTAGAAACACTAAAAAGTCACTTCTTTATTAGGTTTTTCTACGTGTTAGAAAACAATGACCTCTTAACATCTTTTGTGATGTAATAATATGTAACGGAAGCAGACACAACAAAGGCATGCCACGTAATGCCTTGCCATGTCGGAACGTTTATTCGGGGGGTCTAAAAGTACCATTTCTTCATTACCGTTGTATAGTGTCAGAAAACAACGATCCCTTAACGCTCTCTGTGATGTAATAATCTCTAATAAAGGCATGAGATAAGTAAACGGCCTTCTTACTATTCCGGTGTCGTCTTATGGTATCAAAAACGCTATTCGGGGCACTAAAAATACCACCTCTTCGTTACCGTCGTCTAGTGTCAGAAAACGTAGTCTTTCATACTCTTTGTGACGTAATAATCTATCATAGTCATCCTCCTTAGCTTCCCATTGCCGTCTTGTGACGTCGAAATCATTAATCGGGGATGCAACCGCCGCAATGTTTTCCGGTGTTGTACTTCGTGACATCACAAACAGTTAATCGCGTACGAAACACGGGACGATTACCGGATCCGAGCCTTTAAAATGCACGCCTGCCGGAGCCTTTATGACATCACAAACGACAGTCGGGGGGTGCAAATTTATCGTTCCTCGCGAATAAATTCGATAATTTTCTTTCGGAATTGTAATATATTAAGTGGAGAAGTTGATGGCGAAATTTGATGCTTCGAAAAGACTTGATCGATAGACAGCCGAGTCGTTCGGAGTCATGTGACATAGTCCATTTTGTCAAAGAGAAGTTACTATGTTTATAAACGAGATTCTTCCAGAAGCCAACTTCTGGGTGTTCGACACGTTCCTCATGAACGACCCATGTGTTTAACAGCTTTAAATTCGGGTTATTTATGCCATTAGATGGTGTTCGTGCCTCCCCCGTTTAATTTTATCCGTGTTTTTTTTTACTGTGTTTCCTGTACACACGAGTCTCTACCCCCACCCCATTTTTACGTATTTCTACGAAATTTAGCCTCGTTACACACTATAAATCGATAACAAAGGATCGTTTCCTATCTACAAATGGGGGAGGGGGATTATCTCTTAATCGCAAATTAAAGCAGAGGGGGGACAAAAACGTCGATGCAAAAACGAATTTTAATAATTGCAAATTTTAATGAACAATAAAAAAAAATATACAATTACCGTGTTCCGTAACGAACAGAAGTAACAGCTGTTTTCTATAACAGACGTTTTATGCTACGTAATTATTAATCTTGACTGTGTAAATATTTCTATACTATTTAAGTGTTCAGGGGTGTGGGAAGTCACCTCGCAAATGCCTAAACTGGTGCCCGGGGGGGAAGTACGCGTATACACTCGAGGGGTGCTCGACGCGTTTATAAGTAGAGGATTAAAAGAGGGAGATGTTTAAAGGCTAGAGACGACAAGTGGGGCTTCAATGCGGATAGTAGGGCAGTGTGTTAGGTGTGGGTCATTAAATGATTTTTGTTTAAACGACGTAAACGTCGGCGGGGTGGATCGAAAAGCATCTACGATGGTCACTCTACAGATGTACTGGTAGAAAGGAATGGAAGCGACCAAACCATACTGCAGAGGTTGGACGGGAGCAACTGCTATATCGATTCGACACTGGCAATGGGTGTGCACCAAACAGCATCTAAGAACAATGTCTCGTAAGTAGACCAAGTTTTCGAGGGGGTCTTTACCACCCTCATTTGCATAAGTGGGACAAACTTATCGTATAACACCGGCGACAACGTCGGGCGAACTTGGCCCAGTGGCTAGGTAAACACCGTATTAATTACGTAATAAGAGAGTAACGACAACAGTCCCGTGCGATTTTTGTGTGTCTTTACTACGATACGGAACCGGAAGATGGGAAATTTTTGATAGTTTTCGCCGGTGCGGTGTATCGATTGAGGTACACAAATGCACCTCCTTCGTAGATAAAAAAAATAATAAATAAAAATGACCGATATAGACCAGTTAAATTACTTTATCTGGAAAGTGGGAAGCAACGAACTCCATTATTTACGTTTGTGTATTAATAGGAGGAAATTGTAACTGACGGTAAACAACCTTCGACTTAGAAAAATGCTCACCCCCTCGTTGTTTTTCCTCATCCCGTGTTGATTAAATGCGTGATTTTAATCGATTCTAGTTTGGGATAGCTCCCCCCTCCGCGGGGTGTCGCGTACTGTTAGAGACACGTCCCTAAGGGGGGGGAGTGCGAATAAAGGTGTAGATAAAGGTAGACCTACCGGGTTTGGAAGTAGTCGACGGTTTGCTATCGGCTTCGGTGTTTTGCTCAACTTTGGTGCTCGTGACATCTTGGTTGTTATCAATCCAACACGAAGAGGACGACACTGTATCTCCTAAAGACTGCTGAGATCTGGTTCTTCGGAGTTTTCTGTTCCCGTCCATATCCGATCAGGCCCATTGGTCTGTGGGTGATCACACCCCTTGATCACCTGGCTTTGCTTTAAAAGGCTGGGTAACGAATCACTGTGTTGACAGAAGCGAGTGGCTGCACCGACCGCCGAAACATGGCAGTGCTTTCGCTCCCTGCCTTGTGTTTTTCTCCGACGTAAACGGGACGAACACAACAAACACTCGACGATCGAACCGAACCCCCCTCACACTTAATCCATGTGTTCGACTTTTATAGGTATTAATCCAACACGGGGTGTAGCGGGACTCCGGGAGTGTCGTACACACCACGTAACACAGTGCCGGCTCTGTAAAGTCGCCACACCCGCGCGCGCGCGTACTGTTCCTCCCTCAGTCGAACGGCTCCTCCACTATAGTCCTAGCGAACTGCAGGAGGGTACCAAAGGGTCGGTTACGTGGCCACCGACACGGTCGAAAGGCCGTTGTAGACGACGATGGTGGCCCAGGGGTGCTTCGTTGGCGTAACACGCAACCTCGCACTGTCTGTAGCCTCTCCGTCCGCTGTCCATAACGCAGCCGGTGTTACCGCGAAATCGGTGGCGTTCAATAAGAATAGCGCGGATGTGGTACACCCGGAAACGTCATCCCTAGCAACTGGGTCCCTGTTGGCACGCGCCCAATTCTCTAGTGCGGCGACGATGACAGCCGAAAAAAAAAGAGTATTTCTTGGGGGGTGAGCGCGGGGATACGGGAAACAAGATGGCGCCCGGTATATGTTTTTCGATATATGGGGCTCCACGGGCGCCACAATTGAATTTGTAGCGCCATCCAGCGACTTACGCTCGCTCGAATTGATAAACAAGCAATTATATATTTATGTTCCGGATCGTAAAGGGAAACGTTTCTTCCGCTTTTTTTCTCAATTTAGACTTTTACTCTTTCCCCCTCCTCCCCATTCGCTCGAAATTCCTATTTATTACTATTTTCCACCTCTTGTTTCGCGTGGGGATGGCCGACTTTCCCTCTTTCTTTCTTTAAAATGACCTCCTTTTTTAATGATTTTTGGAGGAACCCGTCGTAGACGACCATTGTCTTTTACACAAAAGAGTCTGAAAAAACTATTAAACTTGCTTAAGACGACTTAAGCGCTATCGAATCTTCTAAACCTAGCTATTTCCGCAGAACCTGCTTAAGAGGTCCGCCAATTTTTTTAATCAATTTGCTTAAAAATACGCTTATTAACCTGTTTTAAACGATGCTTAGTGACGCGCTAAAATGACAAATTACTGGTCTTAATGAGGGAAAGAACCCGTTCTTCTTAGAAGGTAGAAGGTTTTAACGGGGTGTACTTAAGTTCTAACGAATCTAAAGGGAATTCTCCCAAACTCTTAAAAATAGAATTATTTTTTTAATCGCACACGCGACTAATAAAGGGTTTTCTGTGTTTGTTTAGAAGCATAGAAACGTGTATCTTCGATTCATCACGCATATTTATCAATGAGACTCAATTGTAAACGTCATAAGAAACGTTCGCGTTACTCTATCGATTGAACGTTTTTGCGTGAAAATTAATCGAAATTTCATTTAAATTTACTCGAAATCGTGCAAAATTTTTGAAATTTTAACCAATGAAATGTTACGTTTACCCAAAAAACAATGCTTTTGTGAGTGTCCGTTCTACAAGATCCTCGCCCATTCGAGCGATTTTTTTAAGTTCTTTCACGTCGAATGAAACCTGTTTTAGACGACCATCCATTAAATTTATCGTTACAGAACAGGATAGGCGTTAAATATATAGAATTTCATCAAATCAGGCCAAGGATACGTCCATTGATACTTTCTATGCAAATTAGTTGCTACGCGTATTGAAATGGCTGGAAAACTCTTCTTGTAAGATTACCTTTATCCATTCCGCCTCTTTCAATGCCAACAAAAGTTTACTTTCTACCGACTGACATACCGCCCTACTTTCTGTTTTTTTATTCCCTGAAAATTTTTAAAATTTCCATCCGAAATGGCCTGATACCGATGGAAAAATGGATCACAATCACGGCGGGTGCCAAATTAAACGCTAGCAATTCGGATCTTTTCTCCTCCCCATTGTCCAAAATTTGAATAAATTCCAAAAAATTTAAATTAATTTTGGATCTTCGCCTCTCCTTGCACCATCATTTCTTAACTGTCGAATTTCGATTTCGTCCCCCCTTTTGAACCCCTTCGATGCCCCTTTTTTTAATGGGTTGAAATTTGTATTGTGGGGGGGGGAAGAACAATCGCTTTATTTTTTAAATTTTTGTTCCAATAAAGAATAATATTTTCTTTAAAAATAATATAAATTTGGCAAGAAAGGTAAATATTTATTAAGAAAACAGGTGAATAAATAACAGAAAAAAGGAATGTCCTCATCGCCTTCTGATTGTTCGGCTAAAAAAATCTTAGTGAAATGTGATTAATAGGTAAAAAGGTGAGATCTAACCCGTTTAAGACGGACACGTGTCCATCTTAGACAGGTTAAATTGTATTCTTTATTAAGCTTGTGTTTCGTAACAATAATCAACTGTTTTAATGATAGATATTCTAGTTTAGGAAATTCGTCCGCTAATGACAGGTTCCTCTCTCGAAGTTCGAGATGATAAAATGTATTTTTAGAATTATCAACACGCGTTTTCTCCTTATACAGGTTTTTAAACAATCTCTTTTTGTTTAATTTTCGAACCTGCAAGAATTTCTCAGGAATGGAGTTGTACTCGAAAGATCTTATAGATTAAACTTGCCATAGGCGGACATCTTAGAATATTTATTAATTTATATCCGGAAATTTCTATTTTAAAAATAAATTTTTCTGGGGGAAGGTTTTAAAATGTTTGATACAGGTTAAGCATTATAAGAAGTGATTCTATTGGAGGAAAGAGAAAGAATAACGAACGTTATCGTTCTCTGGATTTGCTAGAATCAACAATAAACTTGTACCAAGAGAAAATCCGATTTAGAAAGAATTCTCGAGTATTTTTTTTTTCTATAATTCTTCGTATTTTTTTTGGAGGAAAGAATCTGAAGTACGAAATTAAAAACATGCCCTTAAAATAGGAACCCGCGTCAGGCGAAAAGCGAAAAATTACTCGCTTAAAACTTGCCTAAGACGAACTCTATCGAAATTAATAGTTTTTAAAGCGTATAAAAAACCTGTCCGAGGCGAACTCGCGAGTTTAGACAGGTATTCGGCTTTAGATAAACCTGCTTAAGACACGCTCCTCCCGAAATTAATGACGTTTAAGACGAACACCATCCCGAATTAACCCGCCTAAGACGAACTGGTCTCAAAATAAATATGCCGAAATGATGTTTAAGCGTGTGTGAGATTTAAATTAATGGTATATTGCGAACCTGTCTAAGAATCGTTCGTCTTAGGCAGGTTTTTACGCCGAAAATGCACTAATTTTTAGAAAATGAATGAAAAATTCAGAAGGGATTTCGGGTCGAACCGTGTAAGGAGGACGAATAGAAGTAAATATATCTAATTACTTGCAAATTAAATATACTTAACGACATTTCCATGTTATACAAGTTGGAATTTCGTAATGATTATTCACCCCCAAAAAACCTCTTTAATAAAATAAATTTCTCTTTTGAAACTATTAAGAGAATAAGAAAAATTATTTTTAGCCAATTTATTTTTTAATTGAACCCATTAAACATTTCCGTATCTTAATTAATTTTCTGACTTAATCTGGAAAATTTTTCTTTCCATTTAAATTACCCCATGAAAAAAACCATGGGAGTAAAAAAAAAACTTGTCCCGCCATCTAGAGGAGAAAATGTTAATTATTTTATTGGAATAAAATCTTATTTTTCTTTATTAATTACTACGCATAAATTTAAACAATTTAATAAATAATTATTATTTTAAATTACGTAAAAATTAATTAACTAATATCTAATTAAGTGTAATTACTTGGATTATTTGAATTTAAAAATTCCCGATCGAGTACTGATAGAAACCGTTCACAGATGGCAGCATTTTTCGTTAATGGGAATTTAAATACTGTAAATAATTAAAATTAGATTTATAGATAATTTCTTTTTTTAACCTAAAAAATGTTTTAGTTTGTTATGAAATAAAGAAAATCGATTTAAAAATTCTTTTGGAGCGCGTTTTATCCAATGGTTGCGCGCATTATACTAGCTGGAAGGGTGGTTGAATTTAACGCAGAAATTCATGCTAAAATGGCGACTGTAACAATACAAGACGAATTTTCGGCAAAAATACGCACAATTTCATCATAAAAAGCTGAAAATAATTTAATAAAAAGATGTTCTTGATCTCGTCATATTTGGAAATGATATTGGTGAATGTACGCCATTTTGAATCTAAGTGTACTCCAATATGTATTTACGGGTTTTGATAGTATTTTAACTTTAATTTATGGTAACTTAATTCTCCGGAGCTTGCGAATAATTCTATATTTTAAATTTACTAATAAAAGCTCGAAACAATACTTTGCCTGGGGTCAGTGAACGTACAGTACGCCATTTTGTTTCTGGATTTCTGTACATATCTACAAATTTATTGAAGATATTTTAATTCTAGTTATTGGTGATGTGTTTCTTTAGAGTTTTTTAAAATAATTCTGTCTTATAAATATAATATAATTCTCGGGCAAAGAGGAAAACCATGGTAAATGATTATGAGCGAGTATTGAAAGTACATATAGAAAGTCAATAGGGAGTATCGAATTTTTTAAATCGATTCTCGGACTTTCTACTAAAGATTTCTATTTCGACTATCCGTTTTCGGTTCGTTTATCCACAATAAAAATATAATTATCTATTTCCACAAACAATTTTAACAATGTAATGGACTGTTGTTGAAGGTAGCTCCTCACAATACCCAATTTTCTTATTAAACAATTGACAATGGTTCCTCAATATATTCGTCTCCTATCGGAATTTAAATAATCTTTTTTTCTAATGAGCGAAATGTAACTCTGTCTGTCTGTCTATTAAATTTATTAAACGTTGAAAAATGCGTTAAAGAAGACGTCAGTTAGCGTGTCTGTCCGTATTTCAACGAAATGCCCAACTTGTAGTTAAGCGACTCGTAATCTTTACAAGTTTGTTGTTATTAATCTCTGTTTTTATTGTTTATATTCCTTGTTTTTTTTCTTCCAAAGAGAGAAATTCTCGGGAGAGATTTGTCGTTTCTGCTTAAATAAATAAATAATTTTGAAATGATTTAGTTCCTCCATTAAACGAATACGGCTCATACAAGAAATGAATGTTGTGTCCGTGTTTAAATTGCTCGATAAATAATGATAATGACGTTACAAATTTAAACAGTAATAAGCCGAAGAATGAAATATTTAAAAATTAAAGAATGGAAATTTGCACGAGTCCAAAGATTAAATATAAAAAAACGAAGGAAGTTTTACAAACAGGAATTATAAAATCGCGTGGTTTTTATGTAGGAAGTTACTATTAAGCTCTGTAGGACTCTCCTATAGATTTGGCTTTATAATTCCCCGGAGAATATAGATGGACAACAGCCACCCCGATAATTCTGATTCATAAAATATGTATTAATAAATAATAATTCCTGGATAATGTAGAGAAGGTAACCAATGATTCCTAAAGAATGTAGAGAACACGATTCATAATACACTGATACACGTAGAGAATATACAATAGATAGATAGGAATCTATTAAACTATCCTTTCTTAAAAAAAACATTAAATAAATCGTAATTTTCTATCATATTAGAATAAAACACTACGAGACAACCTATGTTGTATGACATAATATTATACATAAACTATACAATACGGAAACAATGACTATAATGCAGTCTATTATATAATGTAACGTACCTATTTGTAGTCTATTGTATTATGAATTCACTGTAGAATTATGTAACGAGCGCCACTTAAAATATTTTGATAAAAAGGAAACCAAAATGGCGACTTAATAAACAAGAGAATGTTTGCAATTCAAATAATATATTTCATACGTAAAGTATTGAGAAGCGAAGGTTTCTTTTATAGAAAATTCATAGTTTTGATTGGCCGAGAGCTGCGTCACGTAGAGACAATTGCGACCTTATTAAGTGCGAGAGATCCAATTATAATTATTTCGTCAGTTTACGGTTAATAAGCGCTCATTGGTTTATATCATCACGTGTAATTACTCTCGAATCAAAACTATCATAATTGATAATCCATCTGAATATAACCCGTTATTATCTACGACAAAGGTACAAAATCGATGAGAGTTAAACGAGTGCTACCGGACACGACGTACATTATCTTCCTTAATTTAATTATAATAAAATTAATTTAAGAATACATATTAAAAAGGAGCGACAAAAGTTTAACATTTATCGTTGCCAGCGCTTCCCGTATTCCTCAATCCATAATTAAGAGCTCGAAGCAGGGGATAAGTCACACCGCAACAATAAGCGCCAAAGTCGTCTGTGGTCAGTTCCCAAATTTTGACTCCCGCGAACCCATTTTCTCGCGCATACTTTCCCTTCTGCGCAGCCGATAAGGGGTCGTCATAACTGACCCATTGATCCCCCTTAAATGCGTAGGGACCAACTCCAGGTACTCTTCGGACCGTCCAATTTTCGTTGCTCGTCTTTTGGCACACCTGAAAAATACAATATTAAAAAAAAGTTGAAGTATAGAATTAAAGATACGAGTCGAGCGAGAAAAAGAAACTTGTCATTTATTTATTTTATGAATTTATTTTCGTATCCATCCTATTTACCACATTGTACGAGAGGCGACGTACAGGCGCGACGAATGTTCTCTAATGATTATTATTTTATTTTAAAATAGGAAAAATGCGAAAATAACTTAAGTAATACTACGAACACTTCCTCAACTAACATTTGTTCGTAATGAACACTTCGCGAGTGCTTTTTTTTAATTGAAAAATCTCTTTCGCTTCGTCGCGTGCATCGCCGCTAAACTACTTCAAACGGGAATTTATTTTATAAATATAAACATTCTTCATACAAAAATTCGATTATACGAGAAAATTTTTCGTAATTTCGAAACAAAGAGCGTGACAGACAGACTCGTTAGCTATAATTTTGATATCGTCACCTTTATGCTATTATTAAACGTATTTAGTATCACGTAATAATTTGTTGTATCGCGTAACATTACCTCGTTATATCCCATAAAACCAGGTTCGTCCGTATACTCGGCTGCACGTCCCTTTCCTTTTATAGGCGCGTAGAGCCCATTTTTCTTCTTATCCAGCAAGGTGAAGCTCCTACCAAACACGGCAACCCCAACGGTAAGTTTGTTTCTGGGAGCTCCCTTTTTAATCCAATAGTTCAGGGCATAATCCTACGCAAGTAAAAATATTAAATATATTTTCATTTCTTGTTTAAAAAATAGAAAATAAAAATAAAAACCGATTTTCGGAGTATCGGAGTTCGATAATAATTTTGTGCTTCAATTATCCTTAAACGATAAAGGAAACAAAAATTACTTTAGTCTCTATAGCAACAGGATTGTGGATGTTTGGTCTCTATGGTAACCGAAAACCGCAATAACAGCCAAAAGTATTATTATAAACTTATCTCGAACCGTACTCCATTTTTAAAAGTCAGAAATTCTCTTAGTTCCGGTGATGCCACACGTTCAATTAACAATTAACTTTTGTTATAATCGAGAAAAAACCTGTTTTACCGTGTTCAGATGAGGATTTGTATCCCCAGAAACGTAAGACATGGCCGAATTATGGCCCGTTTCATTTCTGTAAGTACCAGCAAAGTCGTAAGTAAGCACGTTTATCAAATGAAGAGATCTGAAAATTAATACCTATTTTAATAATTTTATACATAAAACTTCAATAAAAATAATAAAAAATTAAGTTGTTGTAAACTTTTATCCAATGAACAACGTCAATTTTGCATTAAAACCGTTAAAATTAAATTTAAATTTCAAATTCGACGAATCACGTGCTTTTATTCCAAAGTAATTATTGAAACAGATTAATCGAACAGGATGTTTATGGATACGGAAATAGTAACTGAATCTGATTTATTAACGCAAATATTGAATTGATTTGTAGAAAATATCGATTCTTTTTATTTTTATAGTTAAAAAAAGTATTCATTTCTTTCAGAATATTGATTTTTTAATAAAAAACAAAGTAAAAAAAATTACAATTTAGCAAACATCCTTCTGTTAAACACGTGTCTAGTATTGTGACTTTTATCGATTTAAATGACTAAATTGTTATAAAATTTGTTGGAATGAAGCGTAACAACATAAAAATAACTAAAAATAACGTTTTAAAAACACGTTTTTCCTTATTTTCTACGTCTTAATCCCTAATTACAGTGTTAACGTAATTGTTAAATATACCAGAACAACAATAATTGCATTTAATTAATTTCCTTGAATTTTAGCGTTTTTATACTCAATTAAAATTCTAAAATTCAAAGAAATTGAGTAAAAAAATAAATTCGATCGTTTTTACAAGAAAAAATACAAATACAATTCTATAAGAATGTATAGCGTAGCGCCATCTAGGAACAGATTTTATAACTACGTTGAAAATTTGACTGTTATTAATTTTAAAATGTCTCATTAAGTGTCAACTCCTATATGACCTTTATGCGTATTCTATGCCTTATAATACATATGCTAATTCTTAATCCAAACTTATTAAGCTCTGGGCTGATCTTTTAAGCGGCACTAGACACTTACCGTCCTAAAACAGGTACATCGTAGGCCTTGTCAATAATATACTTGCTTCCAGAAACGGAGGCGCTGATTGTCAAACCACGATGATCGAAGGTATCCCTTAGTTCCTGTAGGATGAGCGCGAAGATATACTTACGTATTCTTCTTTTATACGTAAATAAATTAAGGTTACATAACGTTTACCTTAATAAATACGCCATATTGATATTTCTCTCGTTCTCTGGAATCGTCACAACGAGCGTGCCAACAAACAGGATACTCCCAATTTAAATCTAATCCATTAAAATCATATTTATTCAAAAATTCAACGGCACCGTCTATGAAATTCCTCCTATTTCGTATGCTCTTCACTAATCTAGAATATTTCCGTCCGTCTTCGCTATCGCTCCATCCTCCCACAGCCAACACAGTTTTCAAATTCGGGTGCTTTTTCTTTAACGAAGCAAATTTCTGCCGAAATTTGAAATGTAAAATGTTATTCGACCAATTTTTTCTGCTGTGATGTAAGAATTTAACATACCCGAGAGAAATTTTGGAGAAATTCTTTGTTCTTCACATCCACTACCAGTTTCTTCTTATCCAAGAATCCGAAAGAGTAGTTGATGATGGTACAGAGATTGGGATCCACATCGTCCAGAGTGAATTTACCTCTTCCTGGTCTGTACTGCGCCCAGTCGCTAAGAGAACAAACGATCTCTTTTTTGCCTTCAACTGAAAAGGAAAGAAGAATAAATTGAGTTTTCAAGGAATGTTCGAGAGTTCACAATCTGGTGTTCGATCTACCACATAAATCTTCGATACATTAGCCAATTGCCAAACATTAGCAAATTAAAGCAATGTCGTACTAAACTATTCTCAGTGTTTCTAGTTTGGTCCATTCTGTTCTTTAATTAAGAAAGCTATTAGTACTTTGGATCTCTCCTGCCATTAATCTTCCTCTCCAAAATCAAGCTAAGTGTACTTGGATCTTCTGTGAATACGAGAATCCAAACTCTCGCGTCATACAATCCCTCTCTTTAGTCATCACGGTCGAACACGTTAATGCTCACGGAGTTCTACGTGCATCAGCCTGTCGCTCTAAGGGACCCAGGACCGAATCCGAATGGGTCAAAAATCCCCAGAGATCCGTCTGACTATTTCGGGCTCTGTCCCTCACCGTCCAGCATCCCCATTGTGTGGCTGGCCGAACCCATAATAGAAAGAGCTTAGAGAAAGGGTTAACTTGAAAATATCCTTACAGTTTAAGGCACAGAACGGTTTACCTTTATCTAAATGCTGATTATTGGGGAGCAAATGCGTAGCGAGTATCTGTAACAAATGGAAGAAGAATAGCGAGACCATTGCCGAGTGGCGCAGATCAGTCACACGAGATCACTTAACGTTTTTACATTAACTGATACGGAGTAACTTCTAGGAATGTAAAGACGTCATTGACGTGTTTTTTCTGTTTATAAGACATTAATTATACGACTTACCCGCTAAGAAAATGGAGAGGAATAAAGAGAAAAAAATCATTTCGATAAAACTCGGGATAAGAAATGAGTGGAAGGCTTTATACATCTTCGTCAACGTAACTAAACACTTCTAGATAAACGAATAATATTTATTCTTAGAATATAATTTCACTGATAAAATTTAATGTTGCAAAATATCCCCTAAACCGTAAAGATTTGACGTTCGGGACGACACATTGGCTAATAATCGGAAATACAGAAAATTTCAGCTAATGGTGAGCTACTTTATATCACGGAATTTACAGTTTTCTTGTACGAAATCGAAGTGTTTTTGTGAAAAACCGAGACTGAACTGTGGTGTAGGTGTTTGGATTGGATGTATTGTCTGGAGTGTGTCCGGCAGTCTTTAAATATCTTTCTGTGATTTCATATACAGGATATCGACAGACAGTTTAGCCAGGTGTTTTCCCGTTATTTTTAACACCAGCAATTTTTATAAACATTATTTACTGTTCGAAAGCTGTATATTTAATGTAGGACGATAAAAATAACTTAATTGAGAGTTTACTTCCCAGATAGGGATTATAGTTGTTACACTAGTTTCTGGACACGTTGCTTACTGCTTGGTAACAAGCATATGTGTTACGATGTAATTTTTAATCACGTAACATCGTATCCTTTACCGTTTAGCCAATTTTCTTCGTCACACTCTGCAGTTTTTATGCAGTAATCTTCGGAGAAATTATCTTATGATAAGCAAAATTTCAGGTGAAAACACCTGTTCAAATTATTTCGTAATATCCCGTTTATATAAAAACTGCCGATTTAAAAAGAACATTCGTATTTAATTACAATAAAGTGATATTCACAGAGGTAGCCCGTGTTAGCCGGAAATTAGAGTCGAATAGTCATCGAAATTGGCACTAAATCGAGTGTGTCGCTAAACCGAAGTACCCGAAACAATAGGAAATTGAATATTGGATATACTGAAAGGTTATTCGCGAGGTAGATCCGTTCGGAGATATTTATTGACGCTTCAACAGTTCTATCGGAATGCTGTAGTGTTAGAAAGGGGCCCATTGCAGACCTATGCGCAATACATATACAAAGAGAGAATAGCTTTCGTCCGGTATCCACCCCCGCAAGAGTAATATTATTTTAATAATAAACCAAGGAATGGTGTGATTATTCTACCCTACTTTACGTTCTATATTCACGCGTAATTATTATACAGTAGGTGATAAGAAGGAGGGCGGATTCCTCTATCAGAAGGATCCAGATTCCATTTACTTTCTGGCGATTTCTTTGGAGAGAATCCTGTGTTAAAAAGAATGTTAACAGACAAAACGGGGTAGAATTTTGAAAAAAAATAATATATTTTGTTGGTGTATTGACGCGTTCCTTTCACACAGATGACAATAGAAGTTCCTGTCTTTGTCTCGAGGATATCGAATTGACTGGATGTATGATATCAAACACGTACATTATTTTGAATCGAGGTTTCAGGAATTATTTTTGTAACACGAAATTGTATTTTATTTAAAAAATATTTATTTATTTTAATAATATAATTACATTAAGCTCAATTGTAAATTAAAATAGCTTTTATTTACTCAGGACGAATTGAGATAGATAAATTCTTCTCGAGAACACAGGCGGTTCTCTGTATTATAATTAAGATATTACATAAAATACTTTGATGAATATTGATCGTAAGAACTGTTTCCGCGATCATTACTGGATAAATAGTAAAGGATTCGTAGTGTTTTCAGTTTTCGACCAATCAGAGTTAATGTAACATCTCCGATCAATTTTCATCAAAATATTGTATATTTTTCTATGTAAATATTTTCTAAGTACATATTTTTACAAAAATAATTATATTTGGTGAGTGTAAATTGTACAATAATTGTAATTAATACAAAGCGAACTTTGTACTTAAGTTTATAAATTTGTAAAACGTGTTGCTGTAAATGTAAACGGTGTAAAACATTAATTGCAGAAAATACTTTTACGCATTAATTTATGTGCGTTTACAAATGAAGCTGGAGTACGTTTCATGCGAAGCTCTTCCATAGTATCAAATTGCACACCAGTAGAACAGTTACCAAGATTAAGTTATTCAAATTGATTTTCGCTCCGTTTCCTACCCCTTCCTTCAGGGAATTTATCAGTGGATATTTCCTGTCGCCCCAAAGTCCTCTGAAATTGTCACTGGATAACTCCCAGACCATAACACCCCCGTATCCCACGTCTTTGGCGTATCGCGCTTTATCCTTAGCGGCTACGGGATCGTCGAATCCCACCCATTGATCGCCCTTATAGGCGTAAGGTCCCACGTACGAGTCTCTTTCCATCTTCCAACCGTCCTCTTTTATATGTTTAAGAATCTGCCAGGAAAATTCTTTATTAATTTAATATTCGAGTTTTCTGTGTAAACACCCGAGAAATTTTCTTACCTCCGTGTAACTCAAACTTCCTCCTTCTTTCGTGTATTGACCGGGAATGCCCGAGCCATTTGTGGGGTCGAAAAGACCGTGATTAGAAGGGTTAACTAATCTGAAAGTCCTACCGTAAGCGGGCACTCCCATAATCAATTTCTTTTTAGGAATTTTCTTCTCTTCGCTCCAATATTTCATCGAAGACATCTAAGAAAACAATGTTAATCCCCACGAACGATAGGATAAGGAATTTAAGAAGGACACTTACAACATTGCTCTTCTTATCGGGATCTTCGGGGTGGGCTTTGAAAGGCGCGTGATGCCCGGTTTTGCCATCATTGAAATTGTGGTAATCGTAAGTCATGACGTTTATAAAATCTAAGTACCTACGGGCACAATGTCGAATACTTAATTACTATCTTATTTTTAATTTAAACCAATTAGCGTAAGTGTATTTACGTACTTTGCCATACTTTCACCGTCGTAAGCGTGATCGGAAACATACATCCCAGCGCTGACTGCAGCCGTAAGAAGCAAGGATGGAGATTCCTTATCGAATGCTTTTCTTAGCTCCTGTAAAGAAAGTAAAATGCCACCCATCATTTGTGATTTCTTCATTCAACACGGCCTTGATCTTAAGAGCCTCGCCAGCATCCTCAAGCGTGAGCATCGTTTCGACTGTAATTTCTTACCTTTAACAATTTAGCAAAGTTTTCTTTGTCGTTTTTATCACTGTTTTTGCAATCTCCCTGCCAGCAAGCTGGATATTCCCAATCCAGGTCCAGCCCGTCGAATTTGTACTTTTTTAAAAGTTCCACAGCTTCTTTAACAAATTTCTTCCTTCTGTCCGAATCTCTCACCATTCTGGAGTATTTATCGCCTCCACTTTCTACCCATCCACCAATGGCCAATAAGACTTTCAGCTTGGGATTCTTCTTCTTTACTTCTACAACACTCTAAATTTAAGGAAAGACGCGTGTATTATTTTCGAATTTTGAATAATACAGTATTTTCGTGTCTAAATTTTTACCTTGAAAGTACCTTCGTCTACATCCACTCTCTTATCTCCGGGTATCATAATGAGGTCGTCTTTATCTAAACTGGCAAATGCATAGATAATATGGGTGCAGAGGAAAGGATCGATGTCTTCCGCTGTAAATTTCGCAATACTTTCTCTATTTATTCCCCAACTGATAAAGTAACAAACTATTTTCATCTCGTCACCTGAAAGATACGAATAAGAGCTATTTTTATCACTGTCTTTGCTAAAATTATGCTGGGAACACTAGAAACACGAGTCAATTTGGCCAGCTAAGTGGTTTAACTGCCGTAAAATGATTACTTTAACACGCAATTTCCTACCGTTTATATGTACTTAATGGCCTAGTTTTGTGGTGTTCGTGAACCTACAATTTGCCACGTTAAATTAGCGTAATATGCTGCGTAATAGGCATTGTTCAATGAAGAAAAGTGAAAATGTATGTGAAATCTACCATAAACCGTTACGTTGAGCATGGATTCTTGTAAATGTAACTCTTTGAACTCTCACTTTCTTTGTTCTCCAAGCCGGAAAATTCAACAATTGTGAATTTTCACGTGAGAAAATTAACAATTAGCGCACTAAATTCAATCAAAACAATTAGCTTTTATCTCTTCCTTTCATCAATGAGTGTAGGAATCATTTACAAACCTGTTTCTCGCATTTGTCTTCTACACTCGGAGGTCGAATTAATTTAAATTTTTAGAAAATTACTGGTTAAATTTCGAGTTTAGCTAGTGCCGAAGGCATTGTAATCAAGTTTTCATCGATTTCACACGGTTTTTTAACGCGCAAAGTGATACGCTACACTCCGCCACCCCTTCATGAAATTTCCATGTTACTCTTCAGCTCTCAGTTCAAAACTCATTTGAAGTTGATTAAAATGAGGGTGTCGTGCCTAAAATTGCTAACCGAAAGATTTATTAGTGTTTATACACACGAAAACACGAAGAATTGGCCTTATATTCCATACTAGAAAGTACAGTTTCTAAATTTTCTAATTGATTATGGATTAGATTGAACTAACCTACGGGCGATCTGCCAACAGAGGTACCACCCGGAAGGATTTTCTTCGAGAAATCGACTCCTATAGGTGTTAGACACGTGATGAAAAGTGGGAAACACCGCGTGGCCATCGGTTGGCCAGGCCACCGATCAGCGTTTAGGGGTATTATCCAAGATGGGCCCCAAATTGGTTAATTTTAAGACTAGTCACGATCGACAATCGTGCCCTTCACCCGATGATTTAGATTCGATCCTACCTTTCTCGCGTAATGTGTTTCCACCCCCACGAATGCGATAAAGTAGTACCGATACTTGCAAAATCATGTCGATTCATACTCGAATTCTCTCTTCAAGATTTATGAATCAAGAACTGACTCAACATTTTTTGTACATTCTAACAAGAAAAAATTCAATTATAGAACATCTTTTAGTCTCAGAAAATACAGATAATGACGTACAAACTTACTTCTATTCGAATAAATAATTGATTTAACGGAAAACCCAAGAGAATTTTCTACAAAAACCCAAGAGAATTTTCTACAAAAACCCAAAGAACAAACGGCACAAATCGTCAAAACTGCAAAAAAAAAAACGTGCGAATGATGCTAATTAATTGGAATTTTTGGGATTTTGTCATTCGTGTCGAGGATTTTCTGGCAGAAATCGCGTCATTTTGAAGTCCTATCTTAAAATTTTCGCAAACACTCGCAAGTTTATTTATTTGGACAGATCCTTATCTTTCTAGCAACGTCATTGCACATTTTAAAGTAAATTTTTTTGCAAAAAACCATTACTTAAACATCAAAAAATAGATTTTTTCTGGCAAATTTCGATTGGTTTTTATCACGTTTCTATACGAAATAATTAAATTTTTTCCGTCACGAAATCTAAATCTACATCTACTCGACATTCCAGTTTGCCAAAAATACAACACGATCGCCAACCGCAACCATTAATTAGCGGGATGTAAATTTTTTGAATAATTAATTGCCCTTCTCGTGTTTCCACAAGTACACATTAACTTATATGGTTGTGCCGCGTATAAAACTACTTTTCCATACGAAATATGGCTTAAAATCTGTAAAAATAAGCTTTACGCCGCACCAAATCGCTCTAATCCTTTAGGAGGATGCTGGATTTGTGTATTTCGAGCATCCTTTGTTCACTCTATACTTACCCGATGATCTTTTTGAACGATGTTTAGGTTCATCCGTTAGACTCTTCCATTTCGATTCCGTACATTCCCGGGTAGAGCTGTCAAATGCGGTATTTGGGGGGCACTCCTTACGAACGTCACGCTCGTAGTACGCGTAAGCGTCGTTAGGATCTTCTACCCTCTTATTCGGGCACTCCGATGTACCAAAATTGAAGAAAACAGTTAAAGTTAAGCACGAGAAGAAGAACACACGAGCGGCAGACATTGTAGAGAGGTGAGAACAGGTTTACCGAATGACGTCAGTACTGTGACCCTCGCGTCCTTTTATCTATCACCGGTTCTATCCAATGACGAGGGCGTGTGTTCTCGGAACTGCAGATTCGTTTCCTACTTGTTTTTTTTTGTCAACGTGTGCACCGTTCTAACGTTCTAACCAATAGCGGATCCAGAAACCTCTGCAGGGGGTGAAGATAGGAAAGAATACACTTTATAAAAGATTTTACTATCGGTTTTACTCGGGAACACCCCCAAAAGGGGGCTGGAAAGCTAACCCCCTGAATCCTGCAGCATTCCTACTCGCATGACTTGTGATTCAACTAGTATTTTAAGCGCTACGTCGGAAGGAAGTGATGATAAATGTGTTTCTACACACTAGGCTTGTTGTTAATTCACAAAAAACGATCTGTATTTAATTTCTACATCATAATTTAAATAAATATGTTTTAAATTACAGCGGGTTCCAGTTGCGTTGCCGTCAATAACACATCTACAAATAGAAGAATATCTTAACGATTCACTGATAAAGGTTAAAAAAATAAATAAATAAAGGAGGATAAAAATCAAACGTATTGTAATTAACCGATAAGAAATAGTTCCTTCCGCCGAGGATATGGATAAAGACTGCAATGACCCAGTTGTGTGTCTATTGTAAACGATTGTTAAATTATAAATAGGATCGGGAAGGTCAGTGATAAAGTTTAATGAACTAGGCACAAAGTTTTTAGTTTTTTTGTATCATCGAATCGAGATTTACGAGGTTAAAAAGTTAATAAATTTTCTTTCCTTCTTCCAAATGTCACGCTTTATGTTTACATAAATGTTATTATGACGTTTAATTAATAAAATAAATGCTTGTTACTATGAAAGAAATTCATTAGTCCGTATCAGATTTCTTCTGCACAATTGCAACCTTTGTTACGAGTGATTATAATATTGTTATGTCAATTCTTCAGTCCATTAATCTATATAGGACGTAGGTACATTTAATTTTCTCCCCAAAAACACATTTATATCTATTAAAAAGGTTACTTATGCGTAATGTTGCCAGGAGTCCCGATGTCATCATCCTATTGTAAGGTCTAGTGTCTTCGGACCCCATTGCAAGAAGGTCTAAAGTCTCGAAATCGATTGAAAAAAGTCTGGTGCCTCGGAACCCCACTGAAAAAATGTAGTACCTTTGGATCCCATTAAAGGAAAGTCTGGTGTTTTATGATCCTATTGAAGGAATATGTGGCACCTAAAGATTTCATCGAAAGAAAATCTGGTGCCTTAGAATCGTATTGAAAGAAAGTCTGGTGCTTTGGGTGATCGTATTACTTAGGATTCTACTTCATGGAAGATTACCGCGATTCGTGATGATGACTAAATACTAAAAATCTTATTGTACTAAACTCTCTCAAATTATTCATGAATATTCGCAAACCTAGATTTTTGTAATGCCCCATCGATGAACCGAAAATTGTACTTATCAACTGTAATATTTAATGGCATACGTTTAGTAATAAATAATTAAGTCTTTCCGTTTTGACGAGTGCATAATTCAGTTTGAAACTTCGAGGAAAAACGGAAGTAGAGTGACGTAATGATTACCGTTGCACGACAGAATAAGCGATGACGTCGCCTCGCTCTTATTTACACACCTCTAACCTTCCGATAATATATAACATAAACCAGTTTTAACCCGTTATTGCATCTTACATCACGTTGGAATTCTTATTCGGGTCGTTTACCGAAACAATTCTGCAGGAAAAGATTAGGAACGAAGTTTAAATTTAACTCTTATTATCGAGATATTATAACAGAATTTATTCGCGACATCACGTGGCACTAATGGGTATTCGGCCTCACAAGTTTGCTGGTGATTGTTATTGAATAATTTTAATAGGAGTTTAGGCACTAAATGTTTGGAACGAGATCCGAGATAGTAGACCCCTTTGGAGCACAAATTCCAGGCAACAAACCTCATTGTAATGAAATCCCAAAGTGTTAAACATTTCGAAAAGGACCTCGAGTCACTCGGTTCCGCTTGAAGCGGCATTCGAGGCCATTGAAGTGAGAATTCGAAACACCAGACCTAATTGAAACGAGATCCGAAAGCAATAGACTTCTTCGGAAGTGGACCACAAGTCACTAAGTTCATTTGAAGTGAGAATCCAAGGTATTTGACGTCATTGAAGCGCATCAGACCGCCTTGAAATGGGATCGTATGGCATCAAACTTAATTATAATCAGATCTCGATGTAACAGGTTTCTTTGGAACATTTATATAAAGAGGGGAATTGTGTTTATAGATAAAAATCTAAATACCCAAACGTCCTGATAATATCATCTCTTTTCTTACGATCTTTCCATACGAAACGTGACTCTACCACAAGAAATTGCCTCCCTCCTACTATTACGAATAACGAGAGCTTTCCTCATTCCTCGACTGTATCAATTTTGAGTCACTTCATCGAACATTGAATGATTTCAAGGTATGGTGAGCAATATCCTGTACATTCCTTCAAGGCGTTGGGGGAATGTTAGAAATTTTCTAAGATGACTACATTCAATTTTGTTGGCAACTTAAACTAGGTCAAGGATAACCTGATAAACCGTTATAGTGTAATGTTCCGCACAATAGAGTACATCTTGTCGTATACTTGAAAGGTGTAGTGTACTACTTTAGGAATGGGATAATTATAATCAATTCAATACACGGAATTAAAGGTTCGTTCGAAAATAGCAACAGGTGTGACTGCTTATATCTATTGATCTTGCTGTATATAATTATGATTACAATAGCTACTTTATCAGAGTATTGTTTTAAATATATAAGACCTCTTTAATACGGAACACCGTCGTAAAACGAACCCCAATTTCCCATAAATTTCGATCATAAATCGAGATTATGTTCCCGAGAGTGGCTAAGTTCTGTTAATGCTTTAAAGATCTGCCGAACGTTTAATTATAATTATAATTTGTTTGAGAGTAATTAAGATACGATTATGTAAGAAAATAATTAATACAATTAGATTTTAATTAAGAAGTAGCGTAGATTAAATTAGTTTTGCAACATCACTTACGACTGGAACATAATAGCAATCTATGATACTAAACTTATGGGAAATTAGACATCGATTTGCGACGGTGTTCCAGAAATCAATTCGTAGTAAGCGGAATGTAGTAACCCCGTATTAAATTTTTTATTGTATGCGCAACCCGTCCTTTGCGTCATCAGATAATTTAAGCCCATTTTTAACCAATTAAATGAATAATAATCACTCGCAGCAGTCTCGGAAAGGACAGAAAATTAAAATGAAGTTAAAGGTCCTACTAATACCTGACCTATTTATAAGCCTATAAAACTTTTTCAGCTGGCCCATCGTTTAATAATCTACCGCCCAATAATTTATTTTTGGTTATTGAAGCTAATGCACAATGCGTTAGGTGTTATTTTAACCACTTAGCCATTGGTTGGCAAAGTAATTGTTTTCTTCTAATTTCCGTAGTTAATTCCATGAGGGCTAGAATAGATACTTGCAGTCCTTTTAGATAGCAAGACACATGCCTCACAGAAAGCTGCATCTGCCCTTATGGAGTAAGTCAATGACTCACTTCCACAAAATGATAGGCAGACTCTTTATCCTGTTACTACAACATTCATCTTTATAAACTATGAAACTGTATACTTCATAATTGTTTTCAGTATAGGGTAATCAGAGGGTCACAAATGAAAAAAAGAATACCCTAAATATAAGACAGATGGTCCAAAATATTCCATTTTCGGAGTTGCTTTCTTGGCAACGTGGATCTGCACATTGTGTTGGAGGATGACACCCCTACACGATTGGCTTTTGTGATTGTGAACACTGCTGCATGTTGCGTAATATACATAACATGCAACAGTGTTTATTGTGGCTCCTTGGGGCATGAATTCCAGAAAGAAAATTTTTTCCACCCATGCACTAAGAGTCCATAACAAAAGTTCCATGCATTCATCTTGACATTATGAATATACTAAATTAAGAATATCACAATGGCAGTTTTATGTACTTAACTAACATACCTTTAATGATTGAGACTATCAACTGAATATAATTTCAATGGGCAAGTGAATTGTCTGTAGTGAGTAATGGACTTTATTTATAGTGGAGTCCATGGGAAGTACTGGAAAGGGAACAAATTATTTGCCCCACTGGATCTGGGCTTCTAACCAAGGCTGAGGGATTTGGAAGTTGGAACCTTATAATTCTCAAGGAGTGTTGGAAAATTCTGTTCTCTGTTTCAATAGTACTTAGTAATTGAGCATATATCACGTATATTATCTGATATAAGTACAATTAACCCGATTAAAGCAATAAATATTATAACAGCAGATATCCTTTTGTGCCCTTTGAAAAGTTGCAGCGGACACCTACGATGGAGTTAACGAAAAATTTTGCGCACGAAATGTCGGAGGACTCGTTTCTTTATGCTCCTGCAACTCAAATAATTATGTTGTCATCTTAGAAAATGATAGATTTGTTTTAAAAACAATTCACAAAAAACATGTTTATTTCAAAAAGTTTTACATGTAAAATGTATACAGGAAATGGTGATGATGATTAATAACAAATGAATGATCTGGGATTCTCGAAGTCTCTTGTGGCACTCCAAAACGATTTTGATAATTCAGTCATTCCGTTCAGGTTCTTCCTAGATGCTGGAATTAAACAATAGATCGATTTGCATCTCCCGCAATTCTATCAACAAACTAAAGGAAAAACAAATAACAAATTAATGTCTGAATGATTTTAAAGAATTATTTTGGTAAATTTCTTTAATCAAAGTAAAATCTGAAACAACTTACTCTGCTTATTAGTGGTAAATTAAGAACCATTCCTAGAACTGGAATTCTTCTTATAAAATTGATTACAACCGGAAAGAATCCACTAGGAAGACAGAAAAAAACTAATTTTATAACACCTTAACTGTAACTGTGTACATAAAAAATAATTATAAATATAAAAATAAATAATAGCAAATTAGAACTTTTCTCCTAATTCTTTCTGCCCTGTGGGCACTAAGAAAGCCTTTTTTTTTTTTTTTAGCAAGCCCATTATGTGTTTGGCCAGGTCCACAATGGGACGAGTGAGGGACGCGGGCTGACATATCTGCATAGATCATCTGGATCCAATCCTGGGACTTCTAGAGCAGTGGCTGCCACCTTAATTGTTCAGCTATCGGGCTATCAAATATCAAAGTCAAAGCAAGACTATGAACACGATAACAAGGATTTATAGTATTGCAAGAAATGAGTGGTCATGCATTATTCATAACGGCACCCTCCACCTGTTTCCTAAAAAACTGACAATGTCCAAACTATGAAGAAATGAATGGTTGGATATGTCTACAGGATATATCATTCCACTGATGAGGATTTGATTCCTTGATCTACTGTTCAAACAAATGCTTTGATGCACAGGGTGACTATGGTAAAAATCAGATCAAATATGTACATATATCTGTCTCATTTTATAGTACATAAGACCTTCATGTCTGAATGAATCTCAAATACTGTAGAAGAGAGAAGTCTATCTCTACTATACAATGTTCGAGACTCATTCATGTCTCATTTTATGCTTTAAGTTATTTGAAAATGAAGTGTAACACCACATAATTCCAAACAGGAACACTAACCACACAACAAAAGATTTGGTTATTAAAATACAAGGTCTGTTCAAAAAGTATCGGACCTTATTTTTTTCCGCGTAAACCAATGATGCGCGAGAGGCCTCCTTTGGTGGAGTTGTGGAGGGGACAGTCATGCACATCTCTGAATTTTTTCCCGCCTGCAGGAAGCGTCAGTCGTTGGCAATCGGCCTATGAGTGAGGTCATGTGGAGCGCTCTCGTCGGATTCCACTAAGCTGAAAAATGACTGAACAACGCGAGCAGCGGTATTACATCAAATTTTGCCAAAAACCTTGGCGATACCCGAGTGTAAATCATTCGCAAGATTCAGTAGGCTTTCGGGGACGATCCTCGAGGCCAAAAAAAAGCGTGGCAAGTCTGCAGCAATATCAAAGGTCATGTTGACAGTTTTTTCGACTCTCGTGAGGTGGTGTGTCGTGAGTACGCACCACAAGGCCAAACCATCGCAAAGGAGTACTACCAGGAGGTCCTTTGTCGTCTTTCCGATACAGTGCGACGCAAACGACTGGATCTGTGGTCGATCAAAACTTGGCAGCTCCATCGTGATAATGCATCCGCCCATTTTGCGCATCTGATTCGGGCTTTCGTCGCCAAACACAACACTCCTGTGGTTCGTCACGCTCCGTAATCTCCCCACATGGCTCTGTGTGACTTTTGGCTATTTCCCAAGCTGAAAATGCCGCTAAAAGGAACACGAATTTAGTCGAGAGAAGACATCGTGCGAAATGCGACGGACCGGCTGATGGCCATTCCAGAAAATGCGTTCCAGCAGTGCTTTCAGCAATGGCAGGAACGCTGGGAGAAGTGTATACATTACCAAGGAGACTACTTTGAAGGGGATTAGGGTTTTGTACCTCAAAGTCAATAAATTTATTTTTGCCGACCAAAGGTCCAATACTTTTTGAACAGACCTTGTAAATACAAATTTTTACAAAGACAGTAGATGGTAGAAGTCACGAATATATTTTTAGCTTTATAGTCACTAACACATTTTTCTAAATGCAAAGAATATTACAATCTAACAATAATTCTATGTAATGTTATCAACTAATTTGTACTATTTAAATTTTCACTTCCACCAAGACTTTATGATCATAAAATACAATACTGTTCTAATTATCTGAAGTAATGCAGACTGAGAATAATTTGTGAAATCAAAAACTTGGATAACACAAAATAATTGGTTAAATAAGAATGCGGAATCTCGATTAATTGGAATTCTACCATAAATTATTATTGCCGAGAGCTGACTAGCACAAATCTAAAATGTATTTATTACCTACAATCTTGGAAGAAGAAAAAAATTAAGGTTTGTTGTATGTAGGTCCTCATGCAAATATGTAACATTTTTCAGTTCAAATACTGTATTTCCTCCGATTTATGCCAAGACTGATTGCTGCCAAGATTTGAGTGGGAAACAAAAAAGTGTGTGCAGTTAGGGACGGCAGCCATTTCCCACAGAACCTAATTTGGCATCAAATGGCACTCCAAGAATCAAATTAAATGTAAATATTAGTATTTAACTATCAGAAAACACTATATTTGACTTGGCAGTAAATTTACTCACCCCTAAATTGTGAAGTAAGTAAAATTTCTATTAACATGTTTTCAGCAGAATTACTGATAACTGATATAAATTAATAATAATAATAATAAAATACATTTTGTTTGTTCCTGCACAGATGCCGTTCAAAATATTATCAAATAACTATCGAGCGTTTGTTGTTGCAAATACAGTATTTTCTGCTCTCAGTATCCGATTAATACACATTTAAATATAACTGGAAACATTTGAAATAAATTACTCTGTTGGACTGTAATTTGAAAAAACTGTAGACCCATAAATTTCCACTGTCATCCGTCTGTCCTTCCTTAATTAATCTCGAGGACGAAGTTAGATAGATAAAAGCCGAGACTGGATATGGAAAACTTAGGGGCAGGAGGCCCCGATTAACTATATAAGAACTTCTAATGCAAACTGGAAGTCACGTTATTTCAATGCAAAAATTTTTCCCCAAAATTAGATTGATGACCGGCATGACTCTATTGCTAACAGGAAAAGAATGATTTACAGGAGCACAACACTATTAATTTGAGATGGAAAACATATATTTTAAATTAAATAAATTAAAATGTGAGTAAAAATTGCAATTGTGCAGTTTGAAAACAATGATTTGGCATTACCTTGCCACCCACAACAGGACACTAAGAAGGACATCACCAAATATTTTGATATTTCTACTCTGTTGACTGTACAAAATAACAGTGTAAGTCATTAACTACTAATCAAACTGAATTATTGAACTGTTGCATTTGAAAGAGATAATTACTATTTAATGCTACCTTGTAGTCTTTATTGTTTTTAAGCATCATATAGATAATCTAGAATCCTACATTCTCTTATAAGGATTACTCAATTAAGAATTCAAATTTTCTGTATTAAATTTTATTTTTTATTTTGTTTTACCAAACACAATACTAGCAGAACCCAATTCAGAACGGCTGAATTAAGACAATTTGCAGAAAAAGTTTCCAAACTTCACAAATAAGTGACTTCACTTACAATGCTTCCTCCAGGAACATAACCCCCGTCATAAATTGGACACTGTTTGCATTACGACATCCATAAAATAATCATTCAATTATCCCCCAAATTAAACAAGCAGAAATTATGCCACAAATATTAATTAGAAATTACATGATCAGATCGACTAGAGGTAGACATTAGGCACCATCTCTTAATGAAAATAGTAAATATAATTTAATTTTAAATTTAGAATAGTCTGGGAGAACAGAAATGGCCCACAGTGGGAGTCAAACCTGCAACCTCCGTTTACTATGCGGTGTGCCGACCAGTTATGCCATCCACACCTCGGCGATTCCTCCCTTCCAGACACATTTAAGTTTTAGATATAACCATTCAATGGTTACCCATGCCGCCTGGGGATTATGTAATTTCTAATTAATATCTGTAGCATAATTTTGCCCATATACAGAGTGGTAAAAAGTCAGTTAACCAAGATACATCTTTTAAAGATTATTTCTGGAACAGTTCTGGTTTAGCTGTTCCTAATGAATTTTGATCAATCTTAAAAACAATCATGCTAATATATATTTTTGTTAACTAACTTTTGAAACGCCCTGTATGGTTTACATCAGCGGAATTAATATCAATCACAACAAAGTAAATTAAACTAAGCTGTAAAAATGTCAATAATTTGAATAATGCTGAAATGTTTTTGAACTTTCCAATTCTAATTCCACACTATTCTAGACCAGTGATTTCCAAACTACTAAAATATATAAACCCTTCACAAATCAAAAAGTGTTTTTGGAGCCTCACACTATATAGTCAGATTATTCATGGTCTCATGCAGTAGTTATAGAACTATGAATAGTCAGCACTTACCTAACACACCAAGCCAAAAGTTTGTTTCAGTCTACAAGTTGAATTCCTATTAGCTATGCATATGAATGACTAACATACATACATGGGCATCAATCCTTCAGGAATAGAGAGAAAATATCCACACAGTATTTTTGTACCAGAAAATTGTCCCCCTCCCAAGATGTTTAGACATTTTCACTTTATGCTATACTACAAAAATCAGGAGCAGATATAAATATATTGTCACAACAAATACATCTTATTTTTTGTATCCTCTCAAATCCAAACTATGTAAAGTTTTTCTTACTTATGGTCATTGGCCCGACTCCCCGAAATACGAGGTAGGATTTGAAAATTCAGGGATTTGTCGTATAGTTCTGTGCCTCGAAGAGCTTAAAACCACCACGAATGGACTCACGTAAACATCATAAAATGTCTGGATATGTGGAAAAATGGACAATATTACATTCTCCACGATGATGCACCTGCATGTCAATCTGTAATGGTCACAGAATTTCTTGCCAGAAATGGCACAGATGTGCTTCCACATCCCATCTATTCACCCAACTTAATTATTTTAAAGATTTGGTGCATCAGTGTTTTAAACTATTCGAGGCAAGGACCTACGTGCCAAGTACTCAAATCATATCTGGTATTACAAACAAATTTTGATGTGTAAGGACAAATGTAGATTTTTGGAGGAAACTGAATGTGCATTACGACAAAAGCAACTTGTATATATACTAACTGTATTCATGATAATGTTTTTTTTAATGAAACTTGGGATTATAACAACATGTTTTTAGAATAATAAACTCTCATTACTAGATACTTTCTCAATCTTGTGCAGACATCTGTTTGGGAAATGGTGTTCTAACTAAAAATCTTACATACCTAACATATTAAATGTTAAAATTTAAATTTCAAATATGTTCGATTTCAATATCATTCATTACTTTTATATCTTAGTCTGATCACTCTGATTATTAACATAGTTGTCACATTCCTATTTTGATAAATATCAATCAATTAATTTGTTCATTTTGTCCAATAATCATATATTAATTAAAAAGTAAAACTGTACCTGAAAAGTAAAATAAATCCGTAAGTTTCAATAATCATCCCGACGATAGGCCAGCCAAAAAGTACGATAAATATTCCGCCGAAGAAACATATGGAACCTTTGATTTTGTGCCGCTGAAAAAAGAATCGGAATGTCCTCTCGAGTCCGATGACGAACGCCAAACCGGCGAGAAACAGAATCTATTACAAATTAAAATAAAATATGGCTATGGAAAATATTTTAAAACAATTTTATATAATATAATAATAAATATATGAAATTACATTAAATTTATCAATTAAAATTATAATTGTGGATGTGTCCATAGAGAGGTAAATCATCATCATAGAGTTTGAGATGCCTATTTAGAGTTATGCAACTAGTAACATATGTGAGGTAACATACCACATGGAACAAATCCACTTGGAGAGACTATTCCCTTAACAACTTGAGATGGCATCTACTGTGCAAAGTTGAGAGATATGTAATCACTAGACAGCAAATTTTAGGCAAATGCCTATTTTTCCCTTTGTACTAACTACTACAGTAAACATTTCTCCGATATCAAAAACTTTAGCAGACCATGCAGTTTGTGTAACTAAAGCCAAGAAAATTTTGAATGGCATTTATGTTCAGAACAAGTTGATGTACATCAAGTGTTACTTCACATTCATTGCAGATACTATTACTGTTATTGAAAATAGTGGGAAGCCTATACATGGGTTGCAGTTAAACGTTTCAGAACTTCTAAGAGGAGTAGGGTGCATCCCGACGACTCAGAATCATGTAGCAATGTGGGGTCGGAAATGCTTTCCTGACGCAATAGATGGTATTACGCGAAAATTCTGAGCATTCTTGCAGGGAATTGTCATTTTGCACAAGGACGCAGAGTTAGCCGATATGCATTTGGTGTACTGGCCTGCAGATTGTAGTGGGCAGCCGCACAGCGCTTGTACATGGAACAATATTCGACGAGGCTTATTCCCAGCCATAATTTCTTTGCAAGCCTGCACCAGAGGTTAGCTGTTTTTGTGTACATCACTGCTTCAGGAAACCATTTCCGACCCTGCATTGCTATATGATTCCGAGTCGTCGGGATGCACCCTACCCTTCTTAGAAGTTCTGAAACGTTTAACTGAGACACCCTGTATAAGAACAAATTGATCTCTTCAACAGAGCAAAGAAACTTTGTGATTCACCAGGCACTGCTGCAAATAAGTGTTGAAAGTAGTGCTTCAAAAAGTGCTTGTAATATATTGTGAAACTAACTATGGGAAACAGAATGAATAAAAAATGTAAGGACATTGTCTACTTGTAAGGAACCAAGTCCGAGCATTATTTTTATTTACTTTTATTTTGCTTATTATATTTTTGTTTGGGGCTTATGTTTTGTTAGGACGAGGGTTTCCTCACCATTCACCTTAGAAACTTAAAAATATGTAGAAGAGAAACCAACTCACCAATGAGAGAAAAGCGCCGTAGAAAATACTCACGCACACTTGCGTTCCCGAGCGGAAAAAAGTAAGTCCGCACCGAGAAAAGGGGGGAGAAGACTCCACACGCACAACTTAAATTCGCTAAACCTTAAAAGAATAAAACATCCCGAAAATTGTCAAAAAAGAATAATGTAAAAGGTTAGCGAGTATTGTCGGAAAATAGGCTGCCAGACAAATAGAAAAGTTTATTGTTAGCGAATAAGTATGTAAATGAGGTGAGTGATCTCATTCAGAATTGTGACGTCACCTCACAGTATAAAAACTGAACATCAAGTGAAGACGGATGAGGTGAACTCCAGACAGCAACGAGCTTGGTGAGCTTAGTAGCAGTGAACGAGAGAGGTGGCCGATAGGATCAAATAGTTCCAAGGCGATTTTGAAGTTATTCGATTTGTGGATCGACGAATAGAGAAAGTCTTGAGAGTTGAGGAAATAGGTTCCTAGTATATTGAGGTGATGATTAGGATCTTATATACAATAATTCTTATGAATTAAAGTCTTTGAATTTTGTCGAATTCCAAAGGGGAATAGATTTAAGTTAGAAACTAGATTGATTTGAGTTTTGTCGGGTTGATTCTTATTGATTTTCATTTGAATAAGTAGTTGTTGATTTTTACTAAATTTTGTATATAGTTTATTACTAGAAATTTATTAAATATTTGATTTGTTATTGACAAACTTGGTCATTATTTAATTTTGGTGCATGCTAAAAGTCCAGGCCTGGCACACTAACGCGAATCCGCGTAAAGTACCCGTTAGGGAACGGCTATATCCGGCACGCAGTCGTGTCGTTAATTGTTGGAAAGTCGGAAAAATAATATAGTACTTTACATACTTTTGTGTTTGCATCATTCTGAATATGTGCATTTCTGTTTGGAATACATATGTTAAATAAATAATTTATCGTCCTCATAAGTACGTTAATTGTTCATTGTGCAAATGTTCACCTCCTATTTTTTGTTTATAAAGCCTAAATGATGCAATTTAAGAGCTTATTTTAAGCGCCTAGAATGCCACTTTTAAGGGCTTAAATGTCCACTGTCTAGTATTCATCAAAAGTGCAGCTTTGAGGGAATACGTACAAAAAATACGAGAAGGGTACAAGAATGGGATGAAAAGAAGCTCACCAGAATGGAGCACAGAAAGATGATGACTTCTTGAAGAGAGAATCAATAGTGACCTAATGTATTTATTTTCTTCTTAAGGAATGAGTTTGCATTCTAGAAAGAAGAATTTAACTTAGATACGAGATTGCCCAACATTTCAATCAGAACTGTACAGGCTTTTTCCAGTATAGTTCTGTTTTCATTTATGTTTTGTATGTATCATTATATTAAGCTGTAAAATTCTCGTCCATAATCTAATCCTCATCTTCAAATGTTCTAAATCTAACTTTGTTCAACAACAAAAGTGTTTTTATAACAGCAAATGTGACTTCTATATTTAGAGTTTGTATTTATTATAACTCATTTTTGTTGGATCATTAAATTAGCAGAAACCGTTTCTATACTTCATACTGTCAGCTGCAACAAACAAGGTGTTAAAATCATATTTCGTAAGTTTTCTTACTCAAATGAACATAGGATACTTCACTAATTTTAAATCAAAAGTCTGAGTCTAAAAATACAAATATGCATCACCTTCTACTTATTTAATTATCTATACAGGATGCACAGTACATCCACTTAACTGACAGATGCATAGCTACAGTAACGAATGTGACATAAAGTTATGGTAAAGTGACCATGTGCTATGAGATGAGATTGCTTGCAGTGTTTCAGAAGTAATATTTAAGAGTTATCTCAAAAATGGTGCATGATGTAGAAAGAGAGTCAATTACAAAGTTGTAGTGCATGAGCAATTCAGCACAAAAAGACACCCTGCATACATGAATAGAGAGTGGAAAATGCTAATTTGTGGTATCCAATTTCCATAACATCACTTTCCTATAACTATACATCACAGTTTGTAACTAGTTGTTTGCATTCATCAACTACACGGATGTATAAGCACTTTACTGTGACCTCAGTATAATTATGTTTGTAATTTATACCTTGGTATATCTAGACACAATACAGAATGAACATTCTGCTATAATTTGTTGTTATTAGCAATTGACTACTCCAATTGGCTATCGAAATAACCTGACTTCATAACAAAAACTGATAATGAGTGACTTCACTTATAACATTACAAAGCATTTTATAACAGGAAATGCCAATGCACAAACTCTAAGTATATTGATCTTTTCACATTGTGCTGATCATCAACGAATAATTAATTTTTAATATCCGTTTTATTTGATAATTAGTCAATCCAATCCAGACAATAAGTTATAGCAGATAATAAGGAAATTCAGATCTGTACAGGCTGAATCCTACTGCATAACTATATTACCTACTTTCTGGTATATATAGCAAGGCTGGCCAAAACCTTGTCACAAAAGAAACCATATATTGCCCATCAAAAATAAAAGAGCCACATTCTCTTTTAAAACTGTATTTTATGTAATGGATATGTATTTCTGTACATTTAATTATTATAATTAAATGTTAGGGAGTTGCAGTACAGGTCTAGAAAGGCCAGCTTGGTCACCATGGATATTATTTAATCTTATATTTGATAAATATCATTTATCAGGTAACCAAAAAATTTCTGTCGGTTTTTGTCAAAAGAAAACAAATATAAAAATGTATAGGAAATAACACAATTTATTCATCAAAATAACCACCCTCANTCAACAAATTTTACAGCTCCATGTGTCAACAGCAGCTGCCAAGATTACCACCTCCTAGTTAGAATGCTGTTATCTACAGGAAAACAAGCATCAGGGACTGAGTTCATATCATATGCAATTTGTACATTATTGTTCTTCGATTTCCCAGTTTAAAAAAATATATTTGATATTATATTATATAACTGTATTGCTGTGTGTTAGATCTTTCTATAGGTTGCGTGTACCAACCTGAAATGCATTTGTCATTTTTTTGAAAAATAAAAGTGAGTTCCTAACTGAAAGTTTGGCTGTGAGTCCGTCTACCAAATTTTTTTGGATTACAGAGACGTATTATATAGAAAGTACATTTGATATCCTGAAAGCAGAAGAACATGAAGGTACTGCACATATAAAATTATAGAACATGTACAGAATGAACACACAAATTTAGACTCTGATGATGATGAGTCATACTAAAAATCTACACAAAAATTTGTTCAATCTAATGCATATGCTATAATTTCTAGTAGTAAAATTATGGAGAATAATTTTCTCCTCTTGTTGAAGATAAGTTTTCATTAACTTCAACTTCTTTAATCCAAAGACTGTTTAATAAAACAAATAAAATATTAAGTATACACAAAGTAGAACTTTGCCTCCATTTTCTTATTTATTTACTCACAGTTAACTGTATTTATAACACTTTTACTTTCTGAATATCAGTTTGTCAAGAATATAAATATATTTATTGGACTCAAGACAGTGACCTTTATTATGATATTGTAGCAAAAAGCACAAATAGAAACAGAATTGAATACAGAAATTGGAAATATATATTAAAAAATGTTTATTTTCACAGATACAAACAAAATTTTAAATCACTTAAGGTTGTGACACACTAGGCAATTTTTGTGGGAGACATGTTGCCGGGTGACAGAAAAACCTATTTCTCAGTCAGTGGGAGAGCAGTTATTGGGGAGTCAAATCACTAACTTTTGGGTGCAGCACTGATGAAATAAGATGATGTTTGTTTATTCTTTATTACAAGCCACCCATTTTTATGTATTCTAATAAATTATATGTAAAGAAAATTTGCTCACAGGTGTTGGTGTCTGTTTAATAACAATAATAATAGGTCAGTGGCATTATGTAATTCTATTAATAGTATCATATCATACGTTTTTGAAGGGAATAACATTTTGGTGTGCCATGTTGAGTCATGGGTGTGCCGCAAGTAGAAAAAGGTTGCGGAACACTGTACAAGAATAAGGAGAGAGAGATAACAGAGTTGAGGTTGAGTGGCCAAGACTAAGTATGATAAATAATCAAGCCAAACATTATAATTGAAATTAAGAGTCTACTGGAAGTTGGAAAGAAACAATTGTCTATGAAACAGAATAAGCATTTAACCTTTGACATTTAAGTGAAGGTTAAAAGAAGAATAAAAAGAAAGGTCAGTTACTCATAGGACGTATTCCAGAACAAGTAAAAGGTGACTCATTTGATGAACTTTGTCTTCAATTTTATTTAATACTTCATAAAATCTGTGTAAATTTTATTTTGTTTAATGTTTTGCAAAGAAAGAATTACTTAGTCAACATTAAAAATATATAACAAGAAAGATAATTTTAAATATTCTTACATTTCCGATTGCTAACAGTCCTTTATCAAACAAAAACAATACTCCTAAAAATAAAAATGCCACTCCGAATCCTGCCAGACCGACTCCAATTTCTGGAATAAAAAAAATATTCAAATTATTTATATTGATGAAATTATCTTAATTTAGTAACAATTTAATTAAATGAATATATATCGGGTGTTATCATTCAATTCCAACACCCTAACTGAGCCTGGCTGAATCCTGGTAATTTTCTAAATCATTGTGGACTTCTAGAAATGTATATTAAACATGGACTGGCATTTATGTTCAACATCATTGACAGTTGCATCATCTTTAGAAGCCACAGCTAAGATGAACTCCAAGTAAAATATAGAGTATAGAAGGTTGCCGACAACTGTACTAGGGTAAATCCAAACAAATGTAATACGTAATGCCATTTGACAATAAGTCTATTGGTTGCAGAAATTTTAACTCAGTCTCACAATTCTATCAAGATTAAGAGATGTCAGAAAACTGAAAGTAAATCTGTAGCAAGAATGTGCATTCAACATGTGTTTTTATTGAATCAATATTTTTGACAATGTAATTATACTGTTTGGTATCTCTGTATCATCCTGAAAGAATTTCTTCCATTACACCAAGAAACAAATGTCAAATTGAAATCCAATTAGGAAAATAACTGACAATGTTGAAGAACCATTAAAAAATATTGATTACACAATGGGTTGTCTCATGTTTTTCTTATTAAATATACAGTCTATTGATTCCGTAATCAATAAAACCACAATATGGTTATAAAACCAACTTCTACGTCCCAAGTAATAACTTGTTTTGGTCATATGTATTTATCAACTTTAAGAATTCAGCTAATCATAATCTTAGCCACTGTATTCATCAGATCTGAATCTACATTATTTCTTTTCACATGTTTCTTGGTGGATACTGTATATGAAGATAATCCACACACACAGTCAAATATTCGTGACATAAAATTTTGGGACGAAAGAGCAACATCCACAAGAGAAACTAGCCACAGTTTGTGGTAAAGTTACAACATTAGTTTCAGATTATTCTAGATGCAATAATATACATATTAGAAATCCTTTTACATAATTGTGATCTACCAAGCTTTGCTGCATACATCAAATAATCTCAGTTCTGATTGTTTTAGTTGGATTTAATTTTAAAACAAACATTTTTACTAAAAGTTTTATTACTTTCATAATAGAAGATTCAATAGATCATTACTGGTATATAGATATTAATGTGTACAGGAATACCTCAATGCAATCCAAAAAGTTATGGCACTAATTGAATCTGCACTGATTATTATTGAAAAAATGTTTATTTTCAAAATGTCTTCTACAAAAATAATTTGCTTTAAATATACCCTTTCTTCTCATCCTTAGTTTCAAATTATTCTTTGTTCAAACTAATTTCTTCAATTATTCTGTAATTCTGTTTAAGGGTTTTGTCAATTGTTTTCAAGCTGCTCTTCTATAAAATAATCTCCCCACTGCTTCTGATTTTAATTTGAATCTTGCTTTTCCTTTTCAGTCTGGATTCACTTTATTTCCATTCAATCTTTCTTGTCTTAGCACTTCATCTTTGAGTTACAAAAAAGTATAGCATTGACATATCTTTATTAAAATCTATTAACGTTTTTATCATTCAATAACTTTGAATAATACATTAACAAATTTTGATAAAGACATAACTATTTGATTGATCTACTTTATTTCTGCTTTGAAAAGTTAGATAAAGAAAAGACATATCGAAAAAAAATAAAGATAAAGTAAATTTAGACTGAGAAAGGAAGAAAAGATAAGTGTGAGATCCAAACAGAGCCAACTTGAGAGGGAGATGACAAGGTAACTGCCTCAAGCAACATGAACAGTCAAAAATCTTCAAAAGGAGACAGAAATAATAAACAAAATATGATGATGTTCCATGTAAAGTATGTGCTTTACAGTTGTTTATAAATAAATCATACTAAAATGCCAGTGCCAAAAGTGTTCTCTATTGGAAAACATTACGGAAGTAGGGGCAGCCAAAGGGTACTAATGCAGCTCTGAACGAAACAGTTAGGACCTTAGAACCCCACGGGAGTAAAATTCAAAAGAAGCGACAATCAACGCACGACCCTTCACGAGATACAGCCTCCCAAAGTCAGCCTACATGAAATTTTGAAGACCCCAAAAAGGTGATAAAATTTAATAGCAAAAAAAAATCAGAGATTATTTGTCAAAATAATGCTGAAACTCAACCGTTTTTCCACTTTAGTACGAATGGCTAAAAGCTAGTAAAACACAATAAACACCATCGCACAGACTACTTCCAGGGTGCAATCGAAGTCACGCCACATTCTCCATTAGTGTTGCCACCTTTTCAAAATTGCTGACCCGGACGGTAGATCAGGTTTGTTCAAACAGAAGTTCCTGATGCATGCACAATGTCATTTTACAATGCAAAGAATAACGTGCTAGATAACTTAGCCCATAGACGTGTACGATTGTACATGATAAGAAAAAAAAACAGGTCAATAAGTTGTGTGCCACACACAAACAGACGAACATGGCAGAATTGCAGATGAGTTTCAGTGAGTGTGAGTTCTTTCATTGTTAAAATAGTGTAAATTTGTAAAAATATTTGCAAAAACTTTGTTTCATCGTAATTTCACAATTTCTACGAAATTCCTGGACAAAATTAATAGTTCACCAGGACAGCGAGTTAATTCCCGGACTGTCTGGGTGAAAACCGGACAAGTGGTAACACTATGCTCCATTATGCTTATTGTGTACTTAACGAGACTGATTCTGGGGCGCTATATCACACTAAGGGCCACACCCAATCGTTTTCTTTGATTTTTTTACTCCCACAGGCAAAGTCTCGGCTCCGATAAGGTCCCAACTGCCTCATTCGGAGCCACACGCATACCGGCAAGTTTATACGGGCCTAACCAAATCCAAGCTAAGAACGGCAGAAGTTTCACCCATTGCTTTCCTTTCCGCTTTGGCTCTCCGTTCTAGAGAAGAAACGGTAGTCAAGGCAGAACATACACAGGATTTTAACAGAACACATTAACAAACAGTATTTATTGAATTTTATTTAATGGAGATGATTCATGTATTGTTGTAAAGCTCAATTTAAAGAAATTATCCTGCAACTTACCTATATATACATCTATAACATTGGAAAATGTTTACAAAGGGCAGTTCTCACATAAAATATGATTTCTGATCACTTTAATTGCCTTTTTCTCTTTATAATTCACTGTAAACTATGACTAATAGACAATATTTTTTATAAACCAGCAATAAAATGATTAAATATTCGATACTGCACAGAGTTAGAGCCTGTATTTCATTAACACATTCCAATAGAAAAAAAAGTGAATAAAAATAAATGGTAGAATATGCTTTAAACCATTTTATAGCCGTAAAAAGACTAATAAAAGAAGCAAAAATTCCGTAGAAATATCGTAATTGCAATTGTAACTCACTCTGAAAGTCTGTTATTTCGAACATCTTGATAAATATTCAATTAAATTAATTAATTTAAACGATCTACACGTCATCTACCACGCTTCCATATTGGTTTTACTACCACGCCCCCTTCAACTTTGATAACTGAAAAATAAATAATTATTGAAAAAGTCTAAATAATAAATTTCGTTACATTATGTATTAAATTTGCAAATTAAAGCCGAATATTAATATATTATAATAAAATAATTTCGCTTTTAACAAATTAAAAAGTAAAAAAAATCGAATTTTATTTGCCAAGTATCGTCCAAATAGAATCGGCTTTTTTTTTAATACTCTTTCCGCCCTGTGGGCACTGAGAGGGCTTTTTATAGCAGACCCATTGTGGATTCGGCCCGGCCCACAATGGGTGGATTGGGTGGTGAGGGACGGGGCTCGACATATCCGAACGGACCACCCCACGAAAAAGTCCTGGGGATTCCTTCACCCGTCCGAATTCGAACCCGGGTCTCCCGAGCGGTAGGCTGCCACCTTGACCGCTAGGCCATCCAGCCTAGGAATAGAATCGACTAGAACGAAAGAAGATAAACGACACGCAATGGGGCAACGGGCCTTGGATGTACAAATAAGTAACAAATAAGTTTACCGACTCGAAATTACTGATGTAATGTACTTTCGTAAACTAAATACATTACTCACTGCATAAACATTTAGAAGTACAGCTGCTCTAGGCCCGCAAGTTGCAGGCGTTCTCCATACTACAAGTGCTACTTTTCAGGGGCGTGCCGTGACATTTGATGATAGGGAAGCTGTGTTTCTATAAGAAGCCGACATCCAGGGGCAATCAGTTAATTCTTTCTTTACATGTATTTTTAATAGATTATTTATCCGACGTACTTAATAAACAAGTTTATTATAATTACCTCTGTTATTAGATCCAATATATTCCATATGCCCTCTAAATGCCAATTCTTGCTTCGATAAAAACATATAACATCTATTTATTTACATATAATATATCTATTACCCATAATTATCTCGTTACAATTTTCAATATTTATTTTATATTATTTACTAATGTTAAATTCTATTCCGCTTCGATTTCCAAATTGCTTCAAATACGAAAGAATCGACGATTTTTCGTGTCTTTTGCCAGCTNACTTTTAACCTTCCTAGTAGTGAGAATAAAATGACAACTACAGTTTTATGCAGGTCAATGATCCAAAGACAATCTGGGTCTTTCTTTTGCTTTACATTTAAAAATGTGCTAGAAACTGAAATTTCACAACACAGCAGGAAATTTAAAATGTGGAAAGTGGGCAGAAAATAAACACATTTTCCGAAAACAAATACTTCAGGTTCTGCCAATCAAAAATCTGTCAACATATTCATCAACAAATTTTACAGCTCCATGTGTCAACAGCAGCTGCCAAGATTACCACCTCCTAGTTAGAATGCTGTTATCTACAGGAAAACAAGCATCAGGGACTGAGTTCATATCATATGCAATTTGTACATTATTGTTCTTCGATTTCCCAGTTTAAAAAAATATATTTGATATTATATTATATAACTGTATTGCTGTGTGTTAGATCTTTCTATAGGTTGCGTGTACCAACCTGAAATGCATTTGTCATTTTTTTGAAAAATAAAAGTGAGTTCCTAACTGAAAGTTTGGCTGTGAGTCCGTCTACCAAATTTTTTTGGATTACAGAGACGTATTATATAGAAAGTACATTTGATATCCTGAAAGCAGAAGAACATGAAGGTACTGCACATATAAAATTATAGAACATGTACAGAATGAACACACAAATTTAGACTCTGATGATGATGAGTCATACTAAAAATCTACACAAAAATTTGTTCAATCTAATGCATATGCTATAATTTCTAGTAGTAAAATTATGGAGAATAATTTTCTCCTCTTGTTGAAGATAAGTTTTCATTAACTTCAACTTCTTTAATCCAAAGACTGTTTAATAAAACAAATAAAATATTAAGTATACACAAAGTAGAACTTTGCCTCCATTTTCTTATTTATTTACTCACAGTTAACTGTATTTATAACACTTTTACTTTCTGAATATCAGTTTGTCAAGAATATAAATATATTTATTGGACTCAAGACAGTGACCTTTATTATGATATTGTAGCAAAAAGCACAAATAGAAACAGAATTGAATACAGAAATTGGAAATATATATTAAAAAATGTTTATTTTCACAGATACAAACAAAATTTTAAATCACTTAAGGTTGTGACACACTAGGCAATTTTTGTGGGAGACATGTTGCCGGGTGACAGAAAAACCTATTTCTCAGTCAGTGGGAGAGCAGTTATTGGGGAGTCAAATCACTAACTTTTGGGTGCAGCACTGATGAAATAAGATGATGTTTGTTTATTCTTTATTACAAGCCACCCATTTTTATGTATTCTAATAAATTATATGTAAAGAAAATTTGCTCACAGGTGTTGGTGTCTGTTTAATAACAATAATAATAGGTCAGTGGCATTATGTAATTCTATTAATAGTATCATATCATACGTTTTTGAAGGGAATAACATTTTGGTGTGCCATGTTGAGTCATGGGTGTGCCGCAAGTAGAAAAAGGTTGCGGAACACTGTACAAGAATAAGGAGAGAGAGATAACAGAGTTGAGGTTGAGTGGCCAAGACTAAGTATGATAAATAATCAAGCCAAACATTATAATTGAAATTAAGAGTCTACTGGAAGTTGGAAAGAAACAATTGTCTATGAAACAGAATAAGCATTTAACCTTTGACATTTAAGTGAAGGTTAAAAGAAGAATAAAAAGAAAGGTCAGTTACTCATAGGACGTATTCCAGAACAAGTAAAAGGTGACTCATTTGATGAACTTTGTCTTCAATTTTATTTAATACTTCATAAAATCTGTGTAAATTTTATTTTGTTTAATGTTTTGCAAAGAAAGAATTACTTAGTCAACATTAAAAATATATAACAAGAAAGATAATTTTAAATATTCTTACGATTGCTAACAGTCCTTTATCAAACAAAAACAATACTCCTAAAAATAAAAATGCCACTCCGAATCCTGCCAGACCGACTCCAATTTCTGGAATAAAAAAAATATTCAAATTATTTATATTGATGAAATATCTTAATTTAGTAACAATTTAATTAAATGAATATATATCGGGTGTTATCATTCAATTCCAACACCCTAACTGAGCCTGGCTGAATCCTGGTAATTTTCTAAATCATTGTGGACTTCTAGAAATGTATATTAAACATGGACTGGCATTTATGTTCAACATCATCGACAGTTGCATCATCTTTAGAAGCCACAGCTAAGATGAACTCCAAGTAAAATATAGAGTATAGAAGGTTGCCGACAACCGTACTAGGGTAAATCCAAACAAATGTAATACGTAATGCCATTTGACAATAAGTCTATTGGTTGCAGAAATTTTAACTGTCTCACAATTCTATCAAGATTAAGAGATGTCAGAAAACTGAAAGTAAATCTGTAGTAAGAATGTGCATTCAACATGTGTTTTTATTGAATCAATATTTTTGACAATGTAATTATACTGTTTGGTATCTCTGTATCATCCTGAAAGAATTTCTTCCATTACACCAAGAAACAAATGTCAAATTGAAATCCAATTAGGAAAATAACTGACAATGTTGAAGAACCATTAAAAAATATTGATTACACAATGGGTTGTCTCATGTTTTTCTTATTAAATATACAGTCTATTGATTCCGTAATCAATAAAACCACAATATGGTTATAAAACCAACTTCTACGTCCCAAGTAATAACTTGTTTTGGTCATATGTATTTATCAACTTTAAGAATTCAGCTAATCATAATCTTAGCCACTGTATTCATCAGATCTGAATCTACATTATTTCTTTTCACATGTTTCTTGGTGGATACTGTATATGAAGATAATCCACACACACAGTCAAATATTCGTGACATAAAATTTTGGGACGAAAGAGCAACATCCACAAGAGAAACTAGCCACAGTTTGTGGTAAAGTTACAACATTAGTTTCAGATTATTCTAGATGCAATAATATACATATTAGAAATCCTTTTACATAATTGTGATCTACCAAGCTTTGCTGCATACATCAAATAATCTCAGTTCTGATTGTTTTAGTTGGATTTAATTTTAAAACAAACATTTTTACTAAAAGTTTTATTACTTTCATAATAGAAGATTCAATAGATCATTACTAATATATAGATATTAATGTGTACAGGAATACCTCAATGCAATCCAAAAAGTTATGGCACTAATTGAATCTGCACTGATTATTATTGAAAAAATGTTTATTTTCAAAATGTCTTCTACAAAAATAATTTGCTTTAAATATACCCTTTCTTTTCATCCTTAGTTTCAAATTATTCTTTGTTCAAACTAATTTCTTCAATTATTCTGTAATTCTGTTTAAGGGTTTTGTCAATTGTTTTCAAGCTGCTCTTCTATAAAATAATCTCCCCACTGCTTCTGATTTTAATTTGAATCTTGCTTTTCCTTTTCAGTCTGGATTCACTTTATTTCCATTCAATCTTTCTTGTCTTAGCACTTCATCTTTGAGTTACAAAAAAGTATAGCATTGACATATCTTTATTAAAATCTATTAACGTTTTTATCATTCAATAACTTTGAATAATACATTAACAAATTTTGATAAAGACATAACTATTTGATTGATCTACTTTATTTCTGCTTTGAAAAGTTAGATAAAGAAAAGACATATCGAAAAAAAATAAAGATAAAGTAAATTTAGACTGAGAAAGGAAGAAAAGATAAGTGTGAGATCCAAACAGAGCCAACTTGAGAGGGAGATGACAAGGTAACTGCCTCAAGCAACATGAACAGTCAAAAATCTTCAAAAGGAGACAGAAATAATAAACAAAATATGATGATGTTCCATGTAAAGTATGTGCTTTACAGTTGTTTATAAATAAATCATACTAAAATGCCAGTGCCAAAAGTGTTCTCTATTGGAAAACATTACGGAAGTAGGGGCAGCCAAAGGGTACTAATGCAGCTCTGAACGAAACAGTTAGGACCTTAGAACCCCACGGGAGTAAAATTCAAAAGAAGCGACAATCAACGCACGACCCTTCACGAGATAC